GTTAAGGGTACCATCATTTTTGTCCAGGCCTGTTTCATGAGTTTATTTTTTTAAAATAATTTCAGTAATTTCCCAGGCCTGGAATAAATAAAGTATTTTTCTATTCTAATCTATTCTAAATAATTCTGTTAAACCGCCTTTCAAAAGCACTGTCTGATTTTCATTGGTTAATTTTCCTAGAATTTTTATTTATTATTACTTTCATCAGATTCAAGTTATTTCTGTGACCATTGTGGGTTTTTCTTTCATTCACTGGGGGGTACCAACAATTTTGTCCACTTGTATATAAAATCAGGTAAAGATAGCTGCTGTCAAAAGTGGTTGAATAAAACATCCCTTCTTATACGGCAATAAATGAAACATGGGACCGCAGGACTTCATTTACAATTTAAATCATCCTTTCTTTCCTTCAAATGTCAGTGCTTGAGTGGATCAATTATGTTTCCACAGAAACTTTGTATCAAGAGTCGGGCGGAGAGTATTCCGTCATGAGCAATGAGGAGACGCAGATGGAGGTAACGTTTGTTCAATATTTTCTAATTTCATTCCTGTCTCTCTTACACTAACACCCTTAATTAAATAGCTTGTAGATAATACTCCTCCTCCTAAATTAGCTTTCAGTCACCCTGCCAGTGAAGTGAAATTAGGATCCAGTCTCTACGACAGGCATCAGCTGAGCTTTATTTCTCCTGAGGCAGAAGATTAAGCTTTTTTCTCTTCATGTTTAATGCTGTGTCCCCAAAAAGGAAGAAACTTTAGTTCAGGTTTTCTAGAAGAATAAATGTAAGTGTAGCCGGCAGAGCATGAAAAGCTACGTTGTTGGGCTCAGTTATATTAACAGAAGAGCAGAGGAGGCACATGTACTCTACTTGGCTATCTTCAATTCATGTTACATTTCAGAAGGGAATATTGTAAGTTTTCCTTATTTTACATGGTAAATGGTAAATGGTCGGCACTTATATAGTGCTTTACTATCTTAGTGGTACTCAAAATGCTTTCCAATGTGTTTCTTATTCACACACATTCACACATACAACGAGGACAGAGCTGCCATGCAAGGAACTAGCCTGCTATTGGGAGCAACTTCAGGTTCATTGTCTTGCCCAAGGACACTTTGACTGTGGAGGGGCTGGGGATCGAACCACCAACTTTGCAATCAGAGGACAACCGCTCTCCCCCCTGAGCCACAGTTGCCCATATTATAGATGAAGAGTTTACATTTAAGACATATTGTGAGCTCAGATAATACGGTGCATTGTTCTAAATACGACCACCTAACAGCATAAATTAGTGCAGTGGTCATGATTAGTTAATTTGTTTAAATTATCTGGTCTTTTTTGCAAGCAAAAATTCCAAACGTTTGCTGGTTTTCACCTCTTTAATGTGAGCATTGTTCTTGTTCTAAAAGAAGATTGAAGCTACTGAAAGCTGATAAGCTAGCCATCATTAGCAGAATTTGATCAGCTTTTCTTTTTATATCAGCTGCTGTTTTATTGAATTATGTGGAAAAACAAACTGAATAACCAAAATGCCATCTAATCAAAATGGTTATTTTTAATGCACATAACAACTAGTGAAATAAACTAGGTCAGAATGCAGCTTTCACTTGGTATGACTCACTAATTATAGTTTTGTACATAGCCGTCTTTCCGCATGCATTTTTTTTTTTTCTGTGCAGTTTTTGTTTTTTTAGACTTAGAATTTGAAAACCTGTTTTCAGAGAAACATTTCTATGGAATAAAGTTTTTTATACAGCAATAAAAAGAAAGGTAAGATGGGTTAGGGTTAGGGTTAAGGTTAGTTAGGGTATAGTCTAAAGTTTTCTATTCACTCCACTGTATTTTATTGATTGCTTTCCAATATTCAAAATTTTGTCAGGAGATAAAACTAAAACAAAGACAAGGACACATTGAAGAGATTTAGCATTGCACTTCCATAGAGATGCAGCCCTGTTTTCTAGTCGGTACTTACTCCTTTACTGTTTTTAACCTCTTGTGCCTTCTTTCGTCTTACCTGCAGGACTGTTCGTCACAGCAGTGTCTCCAGCCGTCCAAAATCCACGTCCTCGTTCTGGTCCTGCATGGAGGCAACATCCTGGATACTGGCTCTGGTACAACATGAACACAATTGTTATTTTAGTTGGAAATTATTTAAAAAATAAATAAAAATGTTCTTCATCAGCCAATAGCTTAGACTAGAACTTTTAGTAAAAAAAAACAAGTGGGGGGGGAGGGTTAGTAAAAATCACAGTTCTGAAGGCTCAAAGTAAATTTTTTGTCTGAACAGCCCAAATCCCCAAACAATTAATTTAAAATGAAATAATAGCAAGAAGAAGCCCATCCTGACTTTTTAGAGAATGTGACAGGATCAAGAAACGCAAGGAAATTGCCTAGGGCTCAGAGGGTAAATTGCTGTCTCTGCAGCCATTGACTCACATAAAATCCACATGATTTGATGTGTTTAAACAGTTTTAAATAAAATATTTATAAGTATGATTTAAAGATTTAATGTTAATTGAGCTCATTAATTGAAATGGACAAATATGAAAACAAAGAAACAAGGGCACGTTTAGTCTGTTGATGTTTTCCCAGTTTTTGAAAATGATTAATAATCATCCTTTTATAAGGGAGTATAGTCTTGTAAAAGATATGTAACCCTGTTCTAATTTGTCTGCAGGTGAACAGAACAACAAGCAGGGAGATGTAAATACACTGAGCGGGGCTTTTGAGACTGTGATGAGGGTCCATTATCCTGCAGCACTTGGCCGCATCGCCATCCGGATGGTGCCCTGTCCTGCTGTGTGTGTCGACGCATTCTCACTAGTGTCCAAGTGAGCGAACTGAATTTTAATAACCTGCTGTTATACAGGCACAACCTGCTGTTCTGATGTAAAACACTCTCGTCTCTGCTCTGTAGTCTCAGTCCCTACAGCTACGATGAGAGTTGTCTGTCCAGCAGTCAGGACCACATCCCGCTGGCCGCGCTGCCTCTCCTGGCCACCTCTGCGCCACAGTACCAAGACGCCGTAGCAACAGTCATCTTACGAGCCAATCAGGTGTACAGTGACTTTATCAGATCTTTAGAAGGAGCGTCTTTTAATGGCCAGGTGAGTGTGGACCCTAAAGAGGGGTGAAGGGAGTACCAGTGCCTGGTGTTGTATGAATGAAGCTGATTTCTGTGTGTGTAAATTTATGTTTTGTAATATAGGTGTGCGTTATTGGGGACTGTGTTGGTGGTATCCTGGGATTTGATGCTCTGTGCAGCAGCGCTGTGACGGTGTCAGAAAGCCAAAACAGCAGCAGACGGGGCAGTACCATCAGTGTTCAGGTAGCAACCTCAACGCATCAGCTGTCAACTACTCATCCTACTTGTAGCTCTGTGTGTCTATACTGAGGCACTGAACAAGAATGGTGAAATACACACAACTTCGCCACACTGGCCAACATGATCACAACAATCCACTCTAGGATTAATTTACAATACAGCTCTACCAGACTGAAGAATGGCAAAGATTTAAAGCTCTAAAATGTATATATATATATATATATATCAACAGTTTAAATTTTCCTTTGTCTAAAAAATGTTATGGTGTGTGTCAATATTAATTGTAGAGCAGTGCAGCTGTGGAGCTCCTAGTGTGATTTTTCAATCATGTAAAGGTTTATTTGTTGTATACATAAGTAACATGTAGTGAAGTGCAATGCAGGACTAAAAAAAAGAGACAGACAACCATGCACACCCACACATGCAGTTCAGAATCAGCAATTACCTACCATGCATGTCTGTGGTCTGTGGAAAGAAGCCAGAGCTCCAGTGCAAACTCCACACAGCAATACCACATCGAGCAATCTCAAACCCAGAAGCCTTTTAAGGCGAGGTAACCGTGCAGACCAGTGCACCATCATGCTGCCCTTTGGGAGAAATAATATCTGTATTTCATCTAATAGTTGTCACAAGTATCAGCCGCATTGCATGAGGAAAAGTCAGAGGAAAGCCAAAGTTGTAAGAACTAATCCACTTATTAAGGGAGTGTGTTGCATTTACAAAGGCTTAAACATTTTCAGAGGTTTTATCTGGTAATCATGACTTACTATCTCATAATTGCCGTATAGCAGAGATATTGCACAATAGACCAATGGGACTGGAAAGCAATGTTTCAGACCTTAACCAGAAAAGGTATAAATGCTGGACTTTCCTCAGTGCATTTTTAAAAAAAAAGGTTTTCTCTCTTTCACCATAAACACATTATGCACATTTTTCACCCTGTACAGCTCTGTAATATATCAAATAGAAGTATTTAAAATCCAGACTCTAGTTTGAACTTTCGGGCTGCAAGGTGGCTTGGTGGTTAACACTGTCGCCTCACAGCTGGAACGGTCGCCGGTTTGCGTCCTGGTTAGAATGCCCTAAATTTTTCTGTGTGGAGTTTGCATGTTCTCCCTGTGCAACATGGGTTCTCTCCAGGTTCTCTGGCTTCCTCCCACACAGTCCAAAAACATGTTGAAGTTAATTGGTGATTCTAGATTGTCCGTAGGTGTGAATGTCCTGTGATAGACTGGTGACCTGTCCAGGGTGTCCCCTGCCTTCACCCTAAGTCGACTGGGATAGGCTCTAGCCCCCCGTGGCCCTAGTGAGGATTAAGCGGTGTATAGATAATGGATGGATGGATCGTTTGAACCCCTTATTTTGATCTATGGGCATGTCCTTCATGCACTACAACGTTTACTCTTACTGCTGTACCAGAGAAGGAGACAAAGCTCAAGTCTTGTAAAGTAAAGTTTGGAACTTCACTGAGAATTCTCAGATTTTGACGATTTCTTCAGCAGCAGTGTTATTCACTGATTGTTGTTTGTATGGATAGGTGTTAAGATTTTAATGGTACTACTACTCTTACTGATAGTGCTTGTCGTCCATTATTTAAACTCGACTCTTATCTGTTCGTTTTGTTATTTTAAAAAACAAAGCATGGAACATAGCTAGAACAGAAATAACACTTCATTAAGTCTTTTTTTTTTTTAATCCTTCTCTTTAATTCTTCACTTTGAAGTACAAAATTGAATGTAGGATTTTTGTCTTTGACAGTACTTTTACTCTGGAGTATAAATAGTTTTATTTAAGGAAACTGTTAGTGTACTTTTTCAACCACTGCCAGAACTAACAATCAATTAGAGAAAGGGTGAAAATAAATCAAGATTTGACATGCAGCTCTTAAACGATTTCCGCTGCTCATTGCTCTCTGAAACTAAAAACGAATTTATGAACAACATTTCAGATGATGCTCTGAACAGTTCAGATTTAATTTACGAACACACCCATAGCACAGTCAGCTGAACTGGAGATCCAAACCAACCTACCTTCCAGTAAAAATGATTAAAACTGACATTACGAAAGTAGCCTAACAGGTGTAAATATTGGGGTTAAGACCCTGTTGTATTATTTATGAAGTGAATTTATATATTAATATATTATATAGAATTATATAAACCTCAGTCATTTCATCACTGTGCAATCCTAAAGACATATCAATTTTTAAACTTTGAGAATTTTAAATTGTTTAAAAGTGTGTGCTTAATCTACAAGTCTGTGAATGGCATGGCCCCACCGCCCCTGAGGGATTTTATCAAAAAGAAAAGTGGTATCACTAATACAAGGTCAGCCACCAAGGGTGACTGCAAAGTATAGTTTAGAAAGTCCTCCTTTGCACAGCATGTACTATCTATTAAAGGTTGTACAAACTGGAATATCTTACCTATAGCTGTCAGAGAAAGCTCCACCTTCATCAGTTTTAAAAGACAATATAAGATATGGCTGATCAGTAATCAAGTGTGTGAACATTGACAAAATCAGGCACTTTAATTACGTGCACTTTAGGACCTGAAAAGTACTTTATAGACACAGTAGCACTTTAGGGTAGGTACAACCCAGTCTGATTCGATCTTATCGCCACTGTCTGTGTTTTATTGTTGTTGTTTTCATTTGTTTTATTTATTTTACTTTCTTTTTTTTCTTTCTTTTTTTTAAACTCTCTGCTCTTTTGGACGTTTGTATTCACATCCATCCATCCATTTTCTATACACCGCGTAATCCTCATTAGGGTCGTGGGGGGGCTGGAGCCTATCCCAGCCGACTTAGGGCGAAGGCAGGGGACACCCTGGACAGGTCGCCAGTCCATCGCAGGGCCACACTTAGAGACAGACAACCAAGCACACTCACATTCACACCTACGGACAATTTAGAATCACCAATTAACCTTAATATGTTTTTGGACTGTGTGGGAGGAAGCCGGAGAACCCAGAGAGAACCCACGCTGCACGGGGAGAACATGCAAACTCCACGCAGAAAGATTCCGGTGCCCCCACCGGGACGCGAACCGGCAACCTTCTAGCTGCGAGGCAACAGTGCTACCAACTGCGCCAGCTTGCATGTATTCACATGTGTTTCTCTTTTATGTGTATGGGACACCGGATGGAAATTAGCCTTGTGCTAAATCTGGCGTATTTACTACAACCTGAGATTGTATGTACATTAATACGCACTGTCCCATCTAAATAAATAAATATATTAGTAAAACCCTACAAAAATAATATAAAATACTACTATATGTGACTATAATGCATATTAAGGCAGAGACCCTACTGTCATATTCATTATTATTATACATTATGGAACTTAACCTAACTAATGTAAATATTAGGGCTAAGACCCTACATATTACTATTTTGGAGATTAACCTAATTTAGAGCTAAAGTTTTGACTCTACAAAAATATACATGAAAACCTGACACATTAAAGGATTCCCTGGATCCACTGTTACCAAGCCTGGTTTTGTTTTATAGTTTTTATTTTATGTGGACTGTTTCGTGTTTTTTGTTTAGTATTGATAGTTTTTGTTTTTTACGTATTTCATGATTATATTATTGTATGTTATTTGCAACAGTAGAGAGAAATGGCTCCCTTGTAACAAGAAGAGACCATTAGCAGAACCAGGCTGAGTGAGGGGGGGCATTTGCCTGACTGGTCTGAGTGAGGTTGAAGGGGAAAGAGGACAGTATAGCAGAGACAGACAATAAACAAAACACTGCAAACACTGAACCAAACAGCAGGAAAAGTAGACTGCTGATCAGACCTGTATAGCTCCAGAGCAAGAACTACCTGAGAGACATACAAGGTGGGAAAGAGCGGAAGCAAGCACAAACTGAGAATGAGAGGGTACAATGTTCGTAACTTGCAACAACAAATATACCTGCATGGAGAAAATGACAAGAACTGACATGTTGAGGCAGTCTTAAAACAGGATGGCTAAGGTGAAGCCATAGCTAGATTAAAAAACAAGAAGAAGTTGATCTACAACAGCAGAAAGAGAAAGCTAAGTGAATTTAGGCAACCAAAACGAATAGAGCAGTTTCAGGCATACATGTGGTATTCATCCCTACATCCAGTGTTATATAGAAAAAACAAAGAGGTAATAGCTAAGTCAGTGTACTCAATTAAAAAAAAAAAATGTAAATAGATATAGGCTGAAAATGAGGCTTTTGTTGCAGTGTGGCAAGACGATACTTGTTAAAGTTTACATCTGCTCCCTTTTAAACAAAATATTTCAAGCTTACGTTCATTTAATTAAATCAGACTGCCCCATCGTCCCTCTCCTCTCGAGTGCAGCGATGATTGACAACCACCTGAACCAGTTCTCGTAATTACAAGATTAGGTTTCCAGTTTTCCTTATTTTGTGAATGTAATACACTTCTGTATCTGTGGAGCACGAATGTCTGTACGAAGTTTATCAGCAATATTTCAGTCTCACCCAAAGGGATGGGCCGACATCTGTCAGATCTACATTGCTATTCATTGTGCTGTGCTGCAAGCAAACGCCTGAGGGATAACAGATGCAAAACCATGCAAATAAAGTTAAAACAAATGAAGCTAGTAGCAACAGTCTGCACAGCAGGAATGAGACAACATCTGTAGATTCCAAGTAGGACGTAAACCCCTCATCTAATTTTCCCGTTGATACATCCTCTACTCCTTTCGTCTACTCTTCCTCTTGAGTCTTCGTCCCTCCCAGACATTTGAGCGAGAAGGAGGCAAGGAACAGACATGAGCAGAGAGGAAATGAGGCAACAGGCATCTAACAAAATAAGACATCCTCGCCTCTGACCCATCCTTTTTAAGCAACATCAATAAAATATGATAGTTTGCTACTAATTTTTAGAACAATTTACTGTTGTTTTACAGATTTTCCCTGTTTTGTCAGCTTACAGATAGTAACTGGTGATATCACAGGAAAAAAAGCTTTTATTTACTTCAAACAATGCTACTGACATTCTTAATACCTTTTAGCATCAAACTTAAATCCCTGACAGTGTTCTCTTTTTTTCTCAGGACACAGACCTCCTTTCTCCAGGTATCGTCATAAACAGCGTCTCTCCTTCCTCGCCATCTCTCGAAGGAAGTCGCCATCTCAGCCGTAGCAACATTGACATCCCTCGCTGCTCGGGCCCCGATGACCCCAAGAAACAGCTTCCACGCAAGCGCAGCGACTCGTCCACGTATGAGCTGGACACCATCAAACACCACCAGGCCTTTTTGTCCAGGTAAGACACGAAAATGGATGCAAACATCTCAAAATCTTGAAAAATTGCAGCTTGTGTGATTTTTTTTTTTGTGTGTGTGTCTGAGCAGTCTTCACTCCAGTGTTCTCCACGGAGAGCCTGGATCACGGCGCTCCAGCAACAGCACCATGTTGGAGGGAGGCTCGTTGGGAAAGTTTGACTTCGAGGTGACTGATTTCTTCCTGTTTGGCTCTCCTCTGGGGCTGGTGCTTGCACTGAGGAAGACTGTGGTGCCCTCCTTAGATGGTGAGGATAATTTTTCTTTCTTTTCATGCGCCTTGAATTAATTTTCCTCATTAGCTGAAGCTGGAAGTGCTTATTTGTGTGTGTGTGTGTGTGTGTGTGTGTGTGTGTGTGTGTGTGTGTGAGTGAGTGAGAGAGAGAGAGAGAGAGCGAGAGAGAGAGAGAGACATATGATGTCTCCAGCTGCTGGGAAGCAGGCGTCAGAGGTTAGAGGTCACGTTTTTGATCTCAGAGGCTGACGTGATAGACGAGCTCACACAGGCACGAATCTGACTGTAGTGTGTGTCCTTTGTGGTTTGGAGGAAAGAAGTTGCTGACCTGCAGCTGTTGGGTTAACATCTGGACTGATTTCCGATTAGATATTGTACATTGTAGCTGTTCACAGAATCTTTTTGTTTCCTCAGCCATTTATTGCTCGTTTCTGTGTTGGTTTCATCCTATCTGCTAAAGTTATTCTATACCCATCTGACCTCTAAGAGTTTTTGGGTGTGTTTTGGCCCTGTCACGTTTTCCTCACTGTGGGCTCATTTTTCACTGCAATATAAAGTCCTCTGTTGAAACAGCACAACCATGACTAGGAGTACAGAGAACTCAAAATGTCTTTTGTGCTGTGTAACACAGTTAGAATGCCACACATTTGAAAAAAGACAAAACCTGAAGTTAAATTGATTAGATTTTTCATTTTACAAAAATTGAAATAACCTGGAATCAACATGTACAACCTTTTTCCAAGTGCTCACAGGTGTTATCAATACTGGAAAAAAATGTTAACTTTACATACTATTGGTATTCTATGAGAAACATTTTTGCAAATAATGCATTCTTCACACTGCGCTGTACATCCACTCTAGATTGTATTTCCAACATGCTGAATGCTACTTTCAATAAGTTGCTCCTCTGCTGCCTTTATTTTATTGCTCATTTTATTGCTTTTATTGTTCAGTGTTTTATTTTCCACTCAGTCTCTAATTGGTTTTCATACTTGTCTCCTCTCTGCTCTGCGTAAACACAGCTTGCAGTTCAGCCATAAACCCTCTGAACTTTTGTTGCGTTACAGTTTTTGCAGCTGAGTCACATGCGGCTACTCGACTACACCAGGGAGTTCTTTTTTTTTGTTTTGTTTATCAGAGAATGAGGTTTGAGCAAATGTTACGTTTTTGAATAAACAGTGCATCACTTATTTCTCTGCAATCACTTTCATGCAACATCCCACAGTAGTCTCTCCTTTTAAAAACTTTTTATAACTCTGATTGTGTTTCTGTCCTCTCTACAGTGTCGGCTCTGCGTCCAGCTTGTCAGCAGGTTTACAACCTATTTCATCCAGCTGACCCCTCAGCCTCCCGCCTTGAGCCTCTCCTGGACAAGAGGTTCCACCTGCTGCCTCCCTTTAGCGTCCCCCGCTATCAGCGCTTTCCTCTGGGGGACGGACACTCAGCTCTCTTGGGTGAGTCACTCCATCATGAGACACTTCACTGCATTCTTTCTGTTCTACATGTGACTGAGCATTTATATTTTTTGTCTTTTTCTGCCGTCTTAGTGGAGACAGTGCAGAGTAACCCTCAGCTTCTGATGGAATCTAGTGGTGCAGCATTCCACCGCTGCCCAGAAAGCATCAGTGAGACGTCCATCCCCGTGCCTGTCCTCAACTGGCAGACCTCACAGCTCCACACTGAGAGTATGTGTTGGTCCTGTTGTTCTTTTTCTATAGTCAGACCTTAACCCTTGGAATCGGATAGAAGTATTTTACAGCAAATTTAATCATAGTTATGACCTGCATACAGCTCTGAGTCATTCTGTCAGAAGGGTGAAAATTCAATAATTCTTTCTGTGTTTACAGTTTCAGGCGAAGTGGTGTCATTGTGATAATTTTGTTAAAGATGATGTGCCTTTCAAACCTGCTGGCAGGTTTTGAAGTTCAGAGACGAGTCGTTGTTAATGTTGCAGGGATGAATGTGGCTCTAACTCCTGCCTTCTGTCTCCACAGCGGATACTCTTCACTCACATATTTTTGTCGATGGCCAGTACCCCTCATCCACCTCTCCAGGGGTCCCACACCTCCGTTGCAACCGCAGGGCAAGTGAGGCCAGCATAGCCAGCCAGGTGTCGGGTTTAGCCGACTCTTACACCGCCTCCAACATTGCCACAAGTAAGCTGCCCTCTAACCTCCTATGTCTGACCCACGTTTTTACCCAGAAGCTGACAGTTTATATGTTGACATTCTCATTTCCTCCCTCCAAACATGCTCTCAGCAAACAAATGTGAAGTGAGCCATGCTAAAAGGCCCAGTCTGCTGTCTCAGCTGGCTCTGCCCTACAATAGGCTTGCCTCTCGGAGCCCGTCCTTTCGGGCCCGCCAGAAAATCCGTCGGGTGTTCCCGAGACCCAACGGTGTGGAGTCTGAGCAGAGCTCGGATGTTAGCTCTGACATTACCTCTGATTTGACCTCTGACCTCACCGATGTCACGTCTGACATCACAGACATCAGCTCAGCGCCTCCGTCGCCCGGGGTGCTGAAGAATATAGAGCAAGGTACCCTGGGAGCTGTAGTGAAATGGCATTAGGAAAGGATGCTTGGATCCTTCCTCATTCACTGTGCTCTGTCCTTCCTCCTTTGGCCTCCTCCTATCTCACATAGTTCTCCTCAGTTATCCTACTTCCAAAGCTATATATGAGGTCCACAGCGCTTTGTGTACGACTTCTCCGAAACTTAGTACCACTGCTGTCCTTTATTTTACTAAAGGGATTCCTAACCAGGATTACTTGTACCTTAGAGGATATTTGTGCTGCCGTGGGGGGTGATGTGGGAAACTCAAGGAATAATTTACTCAACAACAAAAATATATCTACACATTTGAGTTAAGGAGGAAAATATGCTGCCAAATACAATTGAAGTTTTTGTGATGCAAATGTTTAGTGAATTTGCAATGACTAGTAAACTGCCCTAGGGCTGCCACTAGGAATTAATCTTCTCTTTATTATTCTATTGACGATTTTTACAGATGAATCAATTATAATGGATTATTATTTTTCTTCCAAACAGGTGAAATTATCACCTTAATTTAGCAAACTGTATCTTATTGTATAATACATCAAATCTGGATTTTTGAGGTGCAGAGCAGCAGCTAGATACCATATAGCCTTAAAGTGCTGCATTTTGATCACTTTTTTATAGTTGTTCTGTTGTCTGGCAACAGAAACTGAAAAATATCTAAATGAGAACAGCTTTATAGGTAATTTAGCTGTTATAAATACATTAAATGTGAACGCAGGGAAAAGAAAATATGCAAACAGATGCAAAGTGCCTCCAAGGTGAATAGTGTATAAAGTTAACCCCGCCCAAAACTGTTGCATTTAGTGCAACTGACCA